CCCTAGGGCGCCCGCGGCGATCGGACAGGCTCTGCGGACTCCGGAGCCTGCTGCTGGGGCCACCAGTGACTTGCGATCCCGCTCGCCTGCAGCCGCCGGCTGCCTGTGCGGTGGGGCACTTCTGGGACGAGTTCTGCTGAGCACCTTTTTAAACGCACTATCGATAGCGTGAAGATCTAAACAAAACAAGAGTCTTCCTGCCTGTAGTTAGGTGTAAAGTGAATTTCCTCTTGGAAGTCGGTGTGCAGTCTTGAGTAGTACGATGATAGCAGTTTCTGTGAGGTACATAACAATCTCACTTTTAAAGGAAAAAAAACTTTTGTGTAAAGTTGGGTCCAGAAGAAAAGCAGCTCGATTGTTTGTCGTAGAAAAAAATTCAGGTAGTTTTAGGAATTTAGAAACAAATTATGTTCTGGTATTGGGTAGGGGTTTTAGTGTATGTATTTATAAATTCTGCTGAATGGACTCGTAAGTAAACTGAAAGATAAGACTTTGAGATAACCAAGAAATATTTTGAGGTGCATTGAGAGCATTTTGTGGCAGTAGATTTGTGTTGCATGATTTTACAGTTTTAGCTGGGGGAGGGGTAGACCTTGAGTATTGAAATTTTGCCAAAGTAGACAGTGTCTTCAGTTGAAGTCTGTAAAAACCTTTAAGGTGTGTATTTTCTTACCTTTTGACAGGATAAGTTTACAGAGCAAATTTTCTCTATTGCATAAACTATGTGTGAGTTGCCATTAAGGTGTTAGAAACCTTTAAAACTATTGTGGGTTTCCCGCCTCCTCCATTCTGGGGAATGGACCCAGGGCCTTCACACTGAGCTACATCCCTACACTTTTTTATTTTGGGACAGATTTCCACTCAGTTGCTAGGTTTCTCAGGCAGGCCTCAAACTTGTGAGCCTCCTGCCTCAGCCTCCTAGAGTGACAGGATTGCCACATGCTAGAAACTAGTTTTAGACCAGGAAAATGTGCACGCAGTCTGAAGGTTTCTCCTTAGAGAAGTTGTGATATTTCCCTGGTAAGAGATTAATAATAGTGGAGAAACAAGTTTTAAAAAGTTACAACCCTGAACAATAACTTAGGAGGCAGGTTAAAGAACAGTCAGAAACACTACACAGTGGTTTGTCTATATATTTCACTTCTTTTGAGTATTGAGGAATTATAGCTGTGATTGTAGAATGAATCTTATGTTGCCAGTGAAAGTCGTGAATCCAGACTAGCGAGGAACACAGACATGGAAATGATGCAGAGCCCCAGGTGTACATTCAGTTCAGAGAAGAGCAGGGCAGAGGGAATGCTTGAGCAGGAGGCCCTGAAGTGAGAATGCTTGGTGTGTGCTTCAGTGTCTGAAGTTTGTTGTGTACTTGTGTGTAAAGGTGGGCAAGAGAGTTCTGGGGGAGAGAAAGGGGTGGGCTGAAATCGGAGCTGATGTTTGGTGGTTGATTCCTCCCTCAATGTTCAGCTCTTAGTGGAATGTAAATAGTTTACACAGCTTACCACTGGGCAAGGAGACATTTAAAATCCACAGTCTGCTTGTACTCGGTTTGATGATGGTGTTAAAATCATTTAACTGGAGCAGTGGGGCATGGTGACGCACACCTGTAATCCCAGCCCTTCCGAGGCTGAGGCAGGAGGATCACCACGAGTTCAGGGCCAGCCTGAACTATGAAGGGGGACTCTGCTGCAAGCCCCCCCATCATTTAACTGGCTTGTTTTCATTCATGTGTAACTCTTAAGTGAAGGTCTGTTATAAGATAATTTTGAAAATTCACTGTCATGTTCTTTTAAGTTTATTTGTTTTAATTCTACACTCGACTAAGATGATTCTTCAGGTGCGATTCATTTGCTCACTCTGAGATTGGGTGGTTTTGCTTTTACATACTTAATAAAATCACCCTGCCCCAATACCAGGGATCGAGCTCAGGACTGAGGCAAATCTCAGTACTTTGTACAGTTGTGGAGAAGTTTATTTAAAAAATTTATTGTTTCACATAATTCATATACAAAAGTGTTTTAATGATAATATAATGAATTCTGAAGTAGGTTTTTTGCTCGCTAGAAAAGAAAAAGAGATACTTCTTTTTCTTTAAAGTTTGTTTAAACTCTGCCAGTAATTTGATTTAGAATTCACAATTGAAATTTGTCCTATTATGTGAAATAATTTTTGCCTTTAAAACTACAAAATTTGTTGTGTGTTATGCAACATTTTACTTTTCCCATTAGCAGTTTTGGAGAAAAAACTTAAAGTTTTCTCTTTTTTTTGGTACCAGGGATTGAACTTGGGTCCTTGCGCTTGCAAGGCAGGCCACTGAACCGCTGAGCTAAATCCCCAGACCTAAAAAAATTAAAGTTTAGAAAATACTAAAACAAATCTCAGTATATCCTTTTTTTTTTTGGTATGGAGGATCAAACCCAGTACCTTGCACTCGTGAAGCAGGTGGCATGGCACCACTGAGCTAAATCCCCTGCCCTCAAATGTATTCTTTCTCTTAATGATCAAGGAGAGGAAGAAAATAAAGTAGAAGCATTCTGCTCAAGGTTGCCTGTAACAGTACAAAACTGTGCAGAAACTACACTCCCTGAGCAGGTCAGGGATGGTGGTGGCGCTGTGAGCTAGCACCTCTGGGTAGCAGTGCCTGCTGAGAAGCAGCTCACAGAAAGATTTGGAATACCTTTTGGGGGTGGTCACGTTTTCAGGTGGTTCTTCAGGAATGCCTCCTGTTTCACCCTGGCTTTACCAGATCTCTGTGGTGACCTTGTCCCACTTCCTTAAAAACATAAGGAAACACCTTACTATTCTATTCCTAAAAGTTGCCAAGTATATCGTCTGCAGTACGAAAGTCTGATCTGCTGTTTTAAAAAGCGTGGCGTGCAAGCCTTTGCCTGATATGCTGTCTCCTCTGAACAGCTGTTCATCAGCTTGCATCATACTCTTCTCACATCCAAGGCTCTGGGTTCCTTGCTTCAGGTGGTAAGGCAAACCTATACTTAGGCTTCTTCCTTTTAAGATAAAAATACACTGAAGCCTTGAGTTTTTGATTTTTGTTTTTTGGTTTTTTTTTTTTTGGTACGGGGGATGGAACTCAGGTCCTTGCGTTTGCAAGGCTGGCCACGAACCACTGAGCTAAATCCCCGGCCCCATCCTGAAGCCTTGAGTTTTAAAAATAAGCAAACAAGATAGTTCCTTGATTCTCAGCTTCTGATCTGTGCCCCTTCTGGTCCTTCGTTTCTTTTGCAGTCAGCTTTCTTGGAAAAATAGTCCATATTCACCATCTCTGCATTTCCTCCCTTGTGTACACTTCTCCATCCCTTGTAGTCATCTTTCTGACTTCATTACTTATTGACAGCTACATTAATCATTTCCAGTTTTTAATCTGACAGTTAATATTACTGAGTTCTTTTTTGAAACTCCAGCTTTTTAAAATTTCTATGGCACCATTATCTTGTAATTTTCTTCTTTGCTCCTTTTGTCTCATTTGTGACCTTTCTTAAATGCACATGTTTCTGAGGCTATGACTAGGATTCACCTTGGCTTTGAACTCTGCCTATTGAAAAGTTTTCTCTTTCTTTTTTGCATATATTGGTACATACCCAAATCTATTTTAAGTCTCACTTTAGTATTAAGAACATATACTTGTAACAACTTACTATTTGGATTTGTTCTTTAGACATTTCAAAATCAACACATCCTTAGCTTTAAAAAAATAAGCCTACTCTTTCTGTATTTTTTATTTTTACATTTTAGTGGCATCATGATTATTCATACCAGAAACACTCTAACATGTAATAAAGTTTGTTTCTCCCGCTCCAGCCCTCTATCAGATTATCTAATATAATTGCATTAGATTTGAGCATCTGCTGTATGTCAGGTGTGATGAATGAGTGCTGGAACTACAGTTGTGAGGGACACTGCCTTTGTGTTCATGGGTAGTTCTATCCGAGAGATAGACACTAATCCAATGTGGAGGTGAATGAAACACAGCCATAACGATATCTGTTAATCCTATTAGAATCTAAAGTAGGGATTTTGATCTGGTCAGAGGAGGCTAGCCCAATTGAAACAAGATTCCAAGAATGAGAAGTTCCCTAGGGGCAAAAAGAAAAGAAGACACATGTAGAAGGGTCTTGTGGTAGGGGGGAATATGAGACATTTACAAGACTGAAAGAGGTCAGTGTTACAGTAATGGAAATAACCAAGATGAATATAGTTCTGGTTTATGGGGCAGGTTAGTGGTTTCCCTCCCTCCCTCCCTTTTTTCCTTCCTTCCTTCCTTCCTTCTTCTTTTTTTTTTTTTTTTTTTTTTTTTTTTTTTTGGTACTAGAGATTGAATTCAGGACCTCGTGCTTGCCAGGCAGGTGCTATGCTATACATCCCTGGCCAGTAGTCTCATTTTTATCCTAAGCCAGGAGGTAGTTTTAAGTGTTGTGTGGGAGAGAGTAGGTGGAGGGAATGGAGTAACATCACATTTGCTTTTTAAATAGTACTTCTGGTGGCTGTGTAGATTTAAGAAGAGGAAGAGATGAATTAGGTAGCCACAGCCATCCTAGCAAGAGTAGACCTCTTGGACTGAGATGTGATGTGTTAAAGAAACAATGAAAAGTTTGGAGATCAAATCTGCACTGGAAACGGGTGGTTGGGTTTCCTGTATGGTTTGGAGATTTTTGATTGTGTAAACCAGATGGTGGTGCTGTTCACCCACCTAAGAAACTCCAGGTGTCTGGATGAGGATCAGTTGCATTTTATTTGGGGCTGTGTGGGAGAGTAAAAGGAAAATATGTTTGAGTCCTTTTACTCAGAGAGGTCTGACTTTGGATACTCTCCTGGTCAACAAACATATCTCCTTTTCTCTTCCATGAGCTTTCTTCAGCCTGACTTTACACTGGAACTACTTTTTGCAAAAGGAAAATCTGGTCATGGTCTGTTGTTTAAAGCAGGGAAGTAGTTTACCACATTATGTACTTGGAAAAGCATTACTTCTCTTAACTTTAGTGCTATTTCTTTGCTACCCATAGCTTTGGCTGTTATGAAACCATTTTCCCAAACACTCCCAAGCTATTGCAAGACTGTACATTCTCTGCTTGGAATCTTCTTGCCCCTCTCAATCAGG